ACTCCTTTGAGATCCAGCGTCCTCGTTGGCACATCGCTCGGTGAAAAGGTTTCCACACTATTATAAATAACGTTTCGTTCCTCTCTCCAACTAATGTGAGATCTTACAATCCACTCCTTTGGGATCCAGTGTCCTCGTTGGCACATCGCTCGGTGTCTGGTTCTGATACCATTTGTAACAGCTCAAGTCCACCGTTGACAGATATTGTCCTCTCTAGGCTTTCCCTTTCAGACTTCCACTCAAGGTTTTTAAAACGTGCCCACTAAGGAGAGGTTTCCACACCCTAATAAAGAATGTTTTGTTTTTCTCTCCAATTGATATGAAATCTTTCGAACTAAGTCTTAAGAATATGTTAAAAGAAGAATCACATAAAAGATGTTAAGAAGAATCAAACAATGCCTGGACTATGTTTATACTACTCTAGCTCACTGATCCTGCAACTAAGCTTAGCAGATCCTGCAACTAAGCTTATGCTACTAGTGACATGATTGTTCATCACGGTAAAATCTTTGGCTATACTACAAATTTCAACACTAGTTTCTATACTTTCTAATATTCAAACCTGCTTCCAAACTAGACTGTGAGTGTCATGTAGTAGGAACAGCAAAGGTAGGGATATCAATGGACCTAATGCTATCACCATAGACAAAACTTGCTGTTCTTTGGATCTATTGGTCCTCGCAATACATATCATAATTTAAGATTCTTGTCTCTAAATCTCAGCATTTCACAGCATTGCATCATGGTTGTGGTTCAAATGTCAATGACACCCACATTTGATATGAACATGTGGTCGAAAATGGCAGAAACACAAGTGGTGGGAAATTCAACTTTATTTTATAGAATAACAAAGGATAATTCTACAAAAGCCACGACTTTATTGCACCAAAAGCAAAAGGGCTTTACATCAGAGTAAAAGCAAAGTAAAACACACCCATCTTCCACTGTTAAGCATAAGCATGCCAACTTTGTCGGTTGGGCATCCAATCCACCGCACACCCATCTGCATTCTCAGCCACAAATTAAACACAATTATATGAAATCTCTTCACCATGTGGCCGCCACAGCTGCAGGGCCCTCCACCTGACAAAGAACATCAACAAAAAAAAGTCTTAAGATCTTAGGCATGTAGTTTAGTGATATGATTGATTGATTGTTGTGAATGTCAACCAAATTACTTTGAATGTTGCACCCCAAATCTCTTCCTCATTAGCAGGAACAGCAGTGATCTTGTTCTTAGGATTCTGATAGCATCTCAATTCACCAACTGCTGTAGATAAGAAACACCCTGCAGAATCCAAAAACAAAACGCTCCATTATCGTTACAGAGCAAGTTAATTGATACACACACAGATCGAAAGGGCTTCTAATCTACCTTGAGGGAAAGAAGCAAGTGATTTCCCGCAAGAACCCTTGAGAAGATCTGAGTTATCGGAAAAGGCGACATGACCATCGGCGGTGATTCCCCAATACAACGGAACCTTCCCATTCCGATCCTGTCAGAAATCGCAGAACAAAAACCCTCATTATTGAATGAACCTCGATGAAACCGATTGAAAAAAGCAACAAAATAGGGCTTACAGAAGCGACGAAGAGAGTGGAGGTGGACTTGTCGAAGACGATGAAGGCGAAATTGCCGCTGAGATGGCCGACGACGTGGCTCGGCGGGTATGGGGCCCGGTCACGGAGGGCCTTGTAAGCTTCGATGACGAGAACCACCTCGTTCGCCGATTTGGCTAGCCCGTATTGTTGCCTCAGGCTCCCCAAATTGTCCAGAACGCCCTCGAATAAACAGAAGATGTCGTCCTTCACCGCGAACGATCTGTCGTCCGTAATTAATTAGTTTTTTTAATTTTTATTTCTTTGTCAAAATATTACATTTAAATTTAAAATTTAATTTAATTTGAATTTCAAGGTTAAATAATAATAATAATAATAATAACTTTTTTTTTTTTGTAAAAATAGGAAAATAAATACTAATTTTATGTAAAAATAGAAAATTAATATTTTAAAACTAAAAAAGACTAAAATAATTACCCCCATTTCTTTAATATTTAATACTACATAGTACATTTTCATTAAAATACTAAAAATATCAATTATGATAATTTTTATAAGTCAATTTAAAAATCGGTAAATTCATAAAATGATTAATGGCCACTAAATAAATTGTTTTTAAGAAGGAACAATTATTTAAATGGGTATTTATTTCAATCTAACTCATAAATGCATAATTATAAAATAATTACTTTATGCTATTGACCTATGGATAACCTTACGGATAAGGACAAAATTAAACACACGTGTCATATGTCAGTGGGGGCTTGTCAGACAAATCTAGCCCAAGAGAATCCAGTGAACCTTGATCGCACGTGCCAGTCACGATATCACGCGATCAACAAAATCGCAGCCATTCAATATTCTCTCTAATTTATTTCACCAAAAATGAATTTTAATTTTTGAAAACTTAATAAAGTTGAGTTTTATTCGCCGCCGACAGAGAACATCGACCGTTCCGACACATTTTCCGTCGGTTTCCTTCTAGTTATGGATTAATTAAAGGTAGAAATAGTAATCTAATCCTACGGTGGAGATTTGAATAACTAGAAGCCCCGTGGTCCTGGGCTGTCTGATTTCCGATCAACCGAAGAAAACGACGTCGTAGAGGGGATGGTAGGAAATGAAATTACCTTGGGGTCAAGAGGGATTCACTTTGGTGAGTGTAGGCCAGATGGACATGATCCCCGACCTGCACCGACACGGCGGAGGAGTTGGTGTCGACGAAGCGGTTGACGAGAGTGGCGGAAGTGGTTTTGGGCGACGGCGTACGGCAGCCGGCGGCCACTAACTCGTCAGGCGGCGATATGATGGAGCTGCTGAATACTCCCAGCATGGCTACTTTCAAAAACCAACTGAATCAATAATAAAAATAAATAAATAAATAAAACCAAAACCCAGAAGGGTTCTTATGGATTAATTGGCGAAGGTAGAAATATTAGAAGCTCGGGAGCTGGATGGACGATGGCTTGGCTTGTATGGCTTATATAGGAGACGATGAGGGTACTTTCGTCATTTCAATGTTGGGTGCTATTTTATTTTTATTTTTAATTTTAATTGTTTTGTTCCGGTGGACTGTGGAGGTAGGCAGCCAAGTGTAGAAGGAGATGGAAATTTGGCGGGGGTGGGACCCACCTAATGGCGATTATTCCAGGGTGTGAGGATGATGACGTGGAGGAAACGGCAGGCACCACTCTGATTTTATTTTGTGGGTTTTGCTCTTCTTCTTACTCCACGCGCCATCCACGTCGGAGCTACGTGTACACGTGGACGAAGCTCCAAGGAAGAAAGAAAAAAAGATCTAATTTAATATCGACATAAATTAAAATAAATAGTTTTTTAAAAGTTTAGTTGCATATGTGACACTAAGGTTATGAGAGGGATTAAATTGGAAACAAATTTTGGATAAGGAAAAAATAATTTTATAATTTATGGGAAAATGATAACCATGGTTAAGTGTTAGTGGTCAACTTTCTTAACTCCAAACTTAACCCTAATTGCAAATAGCCACGTGGCTTAGCCATGGTGGAATTTTAAGTACAAAAACCACCTTGGATTGGAATATTTTTCATAATATATAATATTAAACATCTGAATTTTTTTATCTAATAAAACATTAAACTTTGAATTTTGTATGAATTTCTTTTGAATATAATTTATTAAATATTTTTTTGATTTATTATATATTTTCTAAAATTTAAGGATTTATCTTTGCTTTTAATAGATAAATTAACACAAACCTATGAATTACTTTATTTATCAGATATTTATTAAATTGGATTACTAAAAAATAAAGTTAAAATATTTAAGAGTCAAACACACACAGCAAAGAAAATAAAAAAATTGGGTAATAATTCTTTCAACGAATTGTCAAAATCCAATAATTCATCCAACATAATAAATAACAAATAATTTATAAGAATAAAAGAGGAGGAAAAATAACACTTTTTGGGTGCAAAATATCTATTAAACAATAAATTATTTTGGAGGGCTCGTGAATTTATAAATTATTAATAAATTATTAATAATTCATCCTACCGTACGGGAATTTATAAATTATTAATTTTCTTTTAAACAATAAATTATTTTGGAGGATCCTTAATTTATTTAAATTTTTTTCATAAAATACTTATTTATTTATTTTCAAACGATTAATTACAACTCAATTTTAATATATAGTTTAAAAGATTTATATTTTAAAGAGCCGTGGAACAATAAATAATGAAAAATAATATATTTTAAATAACCGAATATAGTTTAGGGCAACCATGAACTAACTAAATTAAATTACAGAGATTGGTTTGAAAATATATTTAAAATTAAAATTTTAAAAAATATTGACATGGATTAATAAAAACAAATATCAAGGATAGAAATAAAACCTACAATAATTTATTTAAAATTAAAAAAAAGTACCCTCAAATAAATTAAAAGGCAAAGAAAAAAAAGAATATGACGCGTATGAAAAAGATATAGATATTTTAAAAAATAAAAAGTAATTAAAATAATACAATATCCGATGGCGACGTCCACGGTTTTTGGGTCTGGCCCATAGTTTCCAATTTCGCTAAAAAAAATATAAATTACACGTAGATAGAGTCTAAAAGTAAAAAATAATAAAATTATGTATGAAATAGACCAATCAGAAAAAAGAATATAAATATATAATTAATAATTAGCTCATCAAAGTGGAAAAAGACAATATAAATAATTGTGGTACTTATTTTAATTTTATAAAAGAGAAGGGTAGAAAGGGAATTTTGGAAATTATGATTTTTGTACAATCCAACTACTGCCACCACCATCAATTGTCACTAAATAAATATTTTGAGTGAGAGAAAAAAAAATTAAAGTGAGAAAGAGCCCATTTTTCAAAAACTTGTTGGACCACTTCTATTTGGATCATATTTGAAATTAAGCGAAAATAATACGACTTTAGTGATGAGTACAGGTCAATTCAATGTTTCGGGTTTAGGGTTTAGGGTGATATCAGGATTTAGATTGTTGAATTTACGGTGAATTTGTATTATCGAGAATCGAAATGTGGCTATAAAACAAGAGAAAATGAATATTGGTGTTGTATTGAGCCACCTTCACTCCAATCCTGTGCGGTGAGCTATAAGATTGAGTTGGACCCATGACATAGCTAATCACTTGGAGTTGACTTTGAAGTTGAGTTGAGCCTTTTGGATATGGTTAAGGTTCAGTTGACTTTTGTTGAGAATCCTATTAACATGACTTTGATTTGATACCATGTTACAAGAACTCTGTTCACTGATATGAGGCATTTTGAAGAAGCTTAAACCAAAACCATGAGAGCTTATATTCAAAGTGGACAGTATCATACTCAAATGCTAAATTGATTCTTCTCTTGGTCGGTCTCACAATTGATTTGTCTTTTTTTGTTATAGGGTTCCATCATTTTATTTTGAACCTCTTTGAAATTGCATTTACGAAACATTGGTTGGCCAAATAGGCATGGACTACTATCGCTGGTACCAAAATTTTCATTTTCTTAAGAAACAAAATTTTTTGTGGACATCGCGGAACAATTTTTAATATATGTTTTAATCAATTGAGTGAGTTCAAGTTAGCTTTTATTTATATGTCAAAAGCCCATGAAACAAATGTCGGCCCTAATGATCTTGATGGGCTCATTGGCCCAACTGAAAATGGCCCAGCATTGGCCCAAAATCCATCCAGCAAAAAAAAAAAAAAAAAAAACTTATATAATTAAAATTTTAAAATTTATTAATTAAATCAATTTAGAAGAGATGTTTGGCATAATTAAAGAAAGTCTAAAATATAAATATTTTAATAATTTAATAATACTGCGAATAAATAATAAATAATTACATAATATTCCAGACCATGTCAGCATTAAAGAATGAAGTAATTAGCTGGTTGATGTTTAATAATTAAGTTAAATCTAATTTATTTTATTTCTACTTTTACCTAAACATGATGGCTTTTCCATAATTTTAAATGCTTAAACTTCATTTATGCTTTAATCTCCATGATTAGTGATAATGATGGCATGCACTAATATGATATAATAGTAAATGCGATTATATTATATTTTTATTGTCCATTCTGACCAATAATTTGTTACGAATGCTAGATCTCTTTACATTAAATATAATAATGAATAATCAATTATAATTTTATAATGATGGTAAAAAAAAATAAAAAAAAATGCACGGGTGTCACAGACCCCAAGTAAGTCATCGATGACAATGGCTAGTTCAAGTGAGATAATATGTCACAACTATACTAAAGGTCAAGGAAAGTAGTGACCTCAAGAGGTGCCCATTCGACCACGGGAGGGTCAATATAAATAAAAGAATGTCATGATGCACAGTAGCGACCGAAGAGAACGGTGCATCATTCAGCACACTAAGTAATTCACAGTTAGTAAATAATTAAAGAAAAGCATGGTTAAATATTCATGTCCATAAATTATTGAAGCATGAAAAGCAGCAACACTTATTAAGGGGTACCTTAAACATTTAATTAAGACTAATTAATCAAGGTTTAGAGGTAAAATTGAAATTAGCACACGTGGTCATCCGACCCAGAAGAGTGGCGCTAAATCCAAGTCTGGAAGTGGCCAAATCAAATTCAAGCAAATTGTTCTCAATCTGGTGGGCCCCAATAACGATCGAGGTTCGTGGGTTCACGCCGCCGTCCACAAACCCCAAGCACAGCACGTCGTCCTTCACATGCACCATCGAGTTCGCGCCGAATATTCTCCAAATCACTTTCTTGTTCTGCAAAATCAGTTCAATCGACGGCACGCCTGGTCCCAATCGGGTGCTGGAAATGCTCTTCGCATTGAAACAAGCTCCGAATGGCGCCACCGCCGCCACTCTTGGAATGTTTTTGAGCGCCGTCGTGAAGGTTTTCAACACGGCGTTGTAAATTGAGGATTCTAAAACGGTGTATGGATCGACGGTGCTGATTTTGGTTCCGCCGACGCCGTTGCTGTCGATTTTTAAGAGGGTGGTGTTGAGTGGGACGGTTTTGGAATTGATGACGATGGATTTTACGCCGATGAAATATTCGGTGGATTTTTCGCCGGTGGTGAAGACGCCGGCGGTGCTGACGGGGTTGATGAAGAGTGGGGTGTATGTGAGGGAATCGGTTAGGTCGATGTTGGGTAAGAAATGGTATGGGCCGTTACCGGAGAAGATTACGCCGGGGAAGCTGGTGGAGCCGCTCAGGCAAATGGCGAATTTTCTGTTGAAGCTGAAGGCGGCAGAGAATTGGGATGGGAGAGAAATCCCGTTCCGTCCGAATCCGGCCATTCCGGTTACGCCGCCGGCGAGGCCGTCGAGGAGAAACGTGGTTCCACAGACAAAGAGGAAATTCGGGACCGTCACGGGCTTGGTTGGATTGAAGCCGTCGGTGGAGGAAACAGAGACGACGTCGGAGGCGAGTTCGCCGCTAGTGGAGAGATGAATAATGGTATTTCCAGGGAACAGACTGCACGTGTTGTTATTGCAGCCGGGTCTTGGCGGCGAGAAGCACTGGCCGCAGCCGCTGGACTTGGAAGCAAGGTTGCACTGAGCGGAGCGGCAACGTGCAGGCTTGTAGGTGGAGGAAATGTAGCCACGGTCACAGTCCACCCACATGAACTGGCTACCGAGGTCGACGGTGAGCTTCAACGGAACCAGAGGGGTCCGCTGCCGGATCTGGGTAATGTACTGAAGAGAAGGGTGTTTGGTGACCGGAAGAACGAGAGCTTTGGGGCGGAAGGAGGTTGCTGCGATGGCGGAGGAGAGGAGGAGGAAAAGAACAGAGTAAAAGAAGGAGAGGGAAGTGGAGGTCGCCATTGTTGGTGGTGCGTTGCAGAAATGGAGATCTGTGGATTTATATAGGAAAAACTTAGAAAATTTTTAAATTATGAATGACGACTTCGATGCCACAGTCACGTTGTAATGGTATATGGACAAATTTTTTT